TTTAGAGACTTTGGTTTTTATGTGTCTGATGTGAGATTTCCAAGTTAGTGTATTATCTATTGTAACCCTATAGTAACCCCTAAGAATTTTATTTCAGAGACATTTTCAATTTGTATCCCATCTATCTCAATCATCTTTTCCATTTTTGTTTTATAATTACCAAAGAGTAGGATTCATTGCTTTCAGATGAGACTGAATAAATTGATCGTTTATTATTAGATTGTTGTCTGCCATAAAAGACTTGGTGCCCAGAGTATTAAATATTAAAATTAAAAATTAATAAATTGTAGTATAAATCCACTACAGGGCCATGAAACCAAAACAGTGTGCTGAAAGACACAGCATTTGAGTGATAATATTGCATAATACAGTATTTCCATAAAATATTGACTATGACACCTTTAAGTTCAGTTATTTACTGTGCTTCATCAACCATATCAAGTGCATCTCACAAATGATATTCTGGCTTCTGGCTGAGATATGTGGTGCAGCTCACAGTAGAGCATTATTATATCTTAGGCAAAGCCACAGTGACAGGATTACAGGGTATACTGTAGCTCTGGTGCTCAGGTCACAATGACAATGAAATAATATTGAATCAAGATCAATGCTATTGCATGCATGCTAATACTATCATCATATCATATGACATTGCAATATAACATCTTACTGTGCATGTTAGACACTCACTGATTTTCAATAAAATTTAATTTGTGGCCATTCTTTCTCTCTTTCTTTGTATATATTATGGTGATATAACAGTTTCCTGGAAATGTGAGCGTAAAAATTGGAAGACAAATATAGTAGATGGATGGATAGTTTGGCTGATGAATACCAAAAGTATGGCTAGATAGGAAAGTGGCCAGCTACAATAAATGTATATAATATAATATTCTGTCATTAAGGCCTATTACATTTAGCTATGACTATGTGTAGCATGACTGAATACTAGGATTTTTAATCTCCATATTTTTATTTCTCATGCTCTAAAAGCTTTGAGTGGTCTTTATTGCCACTGCTGTACTTGACGACATTTATGGACGCTGTGAGCCCAGACCTACAGTAAACAAAATGATCATACTGTAAAACCGCAAACATGGATTCTTAAGTCAAATAACCACACAAATAGCACAGATACTCAGTATAGTGCTTTGGGTTTGTTAACTGCCCATCTAGGAGCTTCAAACTTTGTGATTTTTTCTTTTATATTGCCTGCATCTTACTGTTAAAACTAGTATTGCTTTATTTTCTCTGGTCCGAATATTTTTTTGCACACTTTCATACTGTGCTAATGCAATGCAAAGTCAAATGTGTTAGCAGCACACTTCTAGAGTTCCTATTCTCGACAGTGAAATTGGTCTGTAATTGGTAAAAGTATGCTTATTTTTATTTTTGAACAATGGAATGACTTTTGCAATTTTCATTTTCTTGGGAACACAACCATTTTGAAGCGACGGATTGCAGATGTGCGCTAGAGGTGTTTTAATATTGTTTATGACTTTTTTTTAATAGTGCCATATTGATGGGGTGACAGTCCATAGAATATTTATTTTTGGACTTTTGGACAATGTCCATTACTTCTTTCTCGCTAACTGCTGAAAGAAAGATTGTGTTTGAATTTATTTCATTTTTTTCAATATTGTGCTCTATTTGTTCATCTGGAATTCTTGCTGCCAAGTTAGGACCAACACAACACAGAGCTCCAGTCTTGCACTCTCAGGTATCATTAAATACATGAACTGCTTCTTGAGTTTGCAATCTTTTACATTCCCAATGTCTTTAGGTTTAGACACGTTGCAATCATATATGGTAAAAACAATTTAACCACAAATGCAACAAACTCAGCCACTGACAGAAGCAAAGACGTCTCTGTTCTTACATCCAGGTCTGTAATATCACAAATAAGCAGGCTGTTAATTGTGTTATTTGTAAAAATGTTATCAATTAGGGTTGCACTATGTGACGTGATTCTACTGATAACAGAAAACAACAGGATTTGTGTGATTTAAAAGGCGGACTGGCAGCGAGGCCTCTACAGGAGACGCGCGTCTCACGGACTCGGTGTGGACGAACTCATCTGATGTCATGGATTCCTATCTGCAGCATGAGATGCGCGCACAAAACGCTTCCACCATGTTTTACCCGTTACGAACCTCTCAGCGTCTCCTTGCAGCTGCTACCCACCCAACGCTCCCAGTACCCCATAGAGTCTGGGTTTGTCCCCCAACCCCTACATTATATAAATCAAAAATCAACTCAAAAGGAGTTATTCATAAGAACCCAATTAAAATTAAGATGACTCCTCTTATAGTAGAAAGTAATAGGACAATCAAATGTGGACTATTAAATATCAGATCTCTCTCATCTAAATCTCTGTTAGTGAATGATTTGATAAGTGAACATCACATTGACTTATTGTGTCTTACTGAAACATGGTTACAGCAGGAAGAATATGTCAGCCTAAATGAATCCACTCCACCTAGTCACAGTAACTGTCACATCCCTCGAAACACAGGAAGGGGTGGAGGTGTGGCAGCGATGTTTGACACAAGCCTATTAATCAACCCTAGACCTAAACATAGTTATAACTCATTTGAAAGTCTCACCCTGAGTCTCTCACACCCAAACTGGAAAACTCAAAAGCCTGTTCTATTTGTTATTGTATACCGTCCACCTGCTACTTATTCAGAGTTTTTAAGTGAATTCTCAGACTTTCTGTCTGATTTAGTACTTAGTACAGATAAAATAATCATAGTAGGCGACTTTAATATTCATGTAGATGCCGACAATGACAGCCTCAACAATGCATTCTGTTCATTATTAGACTCAGTTGGCTTCTCTCAAACTAAATAAACCCACTCACTGTTTTAATCACACTCTTGATCTGGTTCTGACATATGGCATCAAAACTGAACACTTAATAGTTTTTCCCCATAACCCTCTTCTGTCTGACCATTTTCTAATAAATGTTGAGTTTACATTAATGGATTATACTCTATGTGGGAAACAATTCCACTACAGCAGATGTCTATCTGGCAATGCTGTTACCAAGTTTAAGGAAATAATTCCATCTTTATCTACTTCAGTGCCGTTTGCCAACACAGTGGAAGGAGGCCACCTTAACTTTACTCCAACACAAATCGATAATCTTGTTGATAGTACTGCAGCCTTCCTGCGTAATACACTTATACCATTGCCCCTCTGAAAAGGAAGGCAGTGAAACAGAG